TAATCATGTCGAAAACCAGATTGAAATTCATAAATTATATCATTTTCTTTGAAGTATCTTTCAATTTGAACACAGACCGATTTTTCTAGAATCTTTGATGCTACGCTTAAAACACTAATAGGTCTATAGTTGCTAACATCAGTTTTATCTTTCTTTTTATAAAGTGGAGTCACTTTTGCTATTTTCATATCTTCTGGAAAAGTACTCGTCAAGATAGATAGGTTCATTAAGTAACTTAGAGGCTTAAATAAAACCTTCGCACCATCTTTTAGAAATTTAGCTGGAATCAAGTCTAACCCAGTACTTTTTGATACATTCAACTTACGTAACTCTTTGAAAACAAATTGTTCACTGATTGGTAATAACTCGAAGCTGTTTTCACGTACACCTTTTCTTTCGTAAAAGTCACGAATACAATCATTGTCTGCGCTGAAAAAGTCTTTGGAAGGGGGGAGTTTGTCTACTAATTTGGCAGCCACATTTGTGAAATGAGAATTGAATTCATCAGCGATGGCCATCTTATCATGACATAATTCCCCATCAATTTTAATGACAGATTCTTGTTCTTTTCGCTTCTTATTTCTCAATCCTAAGCTTTTTAGATTCTGCCAAAGTTTTTTCGAATCTTGTTTATTTTCTTCTATATATCTTGTTTTGTAAGTAATCGAGTTTAGCCTTTTTCACCTCTCTTTGGACCATATTTCTTAATACTCTGTATCTTTTATAGAGCTTCTCATCTTTTGCTCTTTTCCTCCATTTTTTGTATACTATATTTCTCTCTTGAATTAGGGAAAGAATATCTTTAGTCACCCAAGTTTCTGATCTTTGTTTTATTCTTATCCGTTTCAGTGGCGCTATCATATTCAAATTTGAGATAAAAACATGTTGAAATATTGACCATGCCTCATTTACATCTGTACAGTCAGTTATTCGTGACCAATCAACAACAGATAGTTGAAGATTGAAAGACTCTTCTGTATATTTTTTCATGGATCTGATATCATTAGTCCTGTGATGACCTATAGCCAGTCTAACATTTTTCCGTGTACAGAAAGTAAAATAATGGTCGCTAATACCTAGATCAATGACACCACTTTGACTTATTTTATTTTCTTTGGTACAACCAACATGATCCAATAGAGAAGAACATGTAGGTGTAACGCGTGTTGCCTCTTTAATGAGTTGACTAAACCCATGAAGACTCAACAAGTCAATATATTTTTTAGCCAGTGGCGATTTGCGAAGAAGACAAATATTCATGTCTCCTAAAAGAATTATTTCGTCATCCTTCTTTAATGTATCAAGAATATTGGACAATTTCTCGATAAACAAATTGTTTTTCGGAGGTCGATACAGAACACCAACAACAATTGGTTTTGATCTTGGTATAAGCAAATTTATCCACAGGGATTCCGTATCTCCAGTACTTATAGCATCCATAATATTAAATGCAATATCATTTCTGATATAGAAACATACACCACCTCCAGAGCCAGAGGATCGATCATGGCGTATGATTTTATATCCGTCTATTTCAATTTCTTCATCATTTATGGAATTGTTTAACCATGTTTCAGTGAAAGCAATAATAGACAGCCTTTTTCTTTTAAAAAGAATTCTAAGTTCCGATATCTTGTTTAGAATAGACCTCACATTAAGGTGTAAAAAATGAAGACCTTTAACTTTAAACTTTTCTTCAAATTCTTGATAAAGAGAAGTGTTTTCATCTCTGAGGTTTGGCTGAATTACTCTTGCTATCGCTTGCTTTTCAGGTGTAACGCGCGTTATCTTAAAATAGTTTTCTTTTAGTCTATCCTCGTTTTGGCTTTCTTTCTCTAAACAATCGTCGTTAAATAATGAGTCACAAAAAGATGGCAGACAACATGTTAAACAATTCCACTTCTCATCAGGGCATTCATAATATAACCTGCGGTACTCTGAAAAACTGATAGCTTGACAATTAGTGTGAAACCATTTTTTACAATAAGAACACAGAAGGCCGTGTTGATTACATTTGACTGGCTTATCACAGTTCCCACAAGGGAACTTATATTTTCGACCGTCAACTATAATTTCGGATCATCACTAGATTTTGTCAAACTTTCACTTAATTCAATACCCTTCTTACAAATTGAAGATATTTCGCCCAGTCTTTCATGTCCACCTTGGATGGTCTGAAGGCTGGTTTCAGTCGTGACCTCTGTTTGACTGCACTGAAATCCAAAGATCTCCCAGAAACAGATTCGGCGTAGGACTTTACGGGGCTGCTTTTCTCCTCATCAGAATGAAGACTCTGGTTTTCTCGGTAGATGGCTTGATGCCGCCTTGCTCCAGGTTCACTGCCTGTAACTTGATCGGACGACCGTTGAGTCCAGCCATGGCCTCGTGTTGTCGGTTGGTCAGCACTGTTGATGAGGCGTTTCAGGTTGCCTGCCAAGATTCGTTGACCGGCTCTGTTGAGGTGAACGCCATCACGCCCGAGATGCTGCTCGCTGATATCATTGTTGATGATGAGGCCCCATCTGTTCTCGCTGGCTGCCAAATCCCCCAAAACGAAGAAAATGCAATCAATTGTCAAAAATTTATTTAATTTTCCCCCGACCCCCAACAGGAAAAATTCCTCTGTGTGGCCATGCCTTGAACCATAATGCATGGCCCTACAGAGGATTTTTTTTTCTGTTGGGGCCGGGGGAAAATGCAATGAATTTTTGACAATTTATTGCATTTTCGTATTTTTGGGGGATTTGTGGAAGGGGCCGCGTACCCTAGCAAACACTGCGTACAGTCATGATTCAGGGGCTAAGCAATGGCCTTGTTACTGTGATGCCCCAGGATAAAAATCGTGTCGATCAGCTATATATATTAGTCCCCTTTTGTGAGACATATCCTCATTACTGTCAATTATGACTTAAGGACGTAGGTCCCATAGCTGATAAGCATAGTAGCACACATATGACTAAGCAGTCACGCAAAACAAACACTCTCAAATCAATATTCAATAAAATCTGAAAATGTATGCCATTATCTAGATCTATTAGAAATAAATAATTTTTTTAAATCCTTCCCTAAAGTGGGGTAAAAATAAATATTCCACCATTATGACCAACAGTGTACATTGTAGTGATGATGGTGATGATGATGATGGTGATAATGATGATGATGATGAAGGTGATAATGATGATGATGATGATGATGATGATGATGAAGGTAATAATGTAGATGATGATGTTGATGATGGTGATGATCGATGATAATGTAGATGATGATGGTGAAGATGGTTATGACATCATGGTACCATGCAGTTTGATGATATTTTTTTTCTTCAAAATCAATTTGAATTGCAGTTCTTGTGTGATTCTGTTATTCTATTTCCATTACTCTTCTTCCCAGGTAGCCTCTAATCACATCTACAAGAAGGCAATACTTAGTTAATGTTTTTGTTAGATTTTATTTGCATGTACATACTTAAGGGATTGACCATAGACAGGCCTATGGGAGTGTCGATCCCACCATTATCTGTTGTTATATTTATGGTGTATTCTTGTTTGTCTTTTGATTGTTTTGTATTTTTATCCGATTGTGGAAATAAACTAAACTTGAAAACTGTCAGTTTCATGAATATTTATGTACATGACCGTGCGCGTAGGTAGTACTACGTCATTTGAGGTAGGTGGCGAGTTTTGGTATAGAGTGCTCTACACAAAATATTTTGTTTTGGTGAGATAATAAAAAACTGAGTGTAAATTTTGAACTTGACGTACAGCATACATGGACAAATCATATTTGTGAGATCAAAATCGGTTCAGAGACGACTGAAATATCCATAAATATAACCATTTCTAACAAATATTCAATAACTTTGAACCAGCTAGCCGTTGATAGACAAAAAAAAGCTTACACAAATGTTTTTTTTAATAAAATCTGAGAATGTATACTATTATCTAGATCTATTAGGAATAAATCATTGTCAAAATAATTCCATGAATTAAGGTAAAAAAAAAAAAAAATATTCCAACTATATGAGCGACAGTGAAGAAGAAAATAACTTATAATTTTATTTAAAAAGAAAAAAAAATTGGTGTTTCTCCCGTGCCGGGAATCGAACCCGGGCCGCGTGGGTGAAAACCACGAATCCTAACCACTAGACCACACGGGATTGCCGTGTAAGGCGGGAAATTTTACACAAGATATACCTAAAATATTAATACTGCTGACGCTGCAACTTACATTTATTTTTAAATATGGTATTTCTGCGCGTGTTTAATTACTTAGATGATTTTAGAAACATTTTTTGCCTATTCTTTCTGTAATGTGAACTAATTATGATTTTATGACAATGCATAAAGCGAACTTATAAATATGTTATAACGATTGTCTGTCTAGATAACGTCAGACTAGCTTTCTCTCATACATACATACACGACGTACACACACAGAGTACAATACACATATAAGACACACATACTACACACACACAGTACACAATAGTCTACGAAATACAGGCATAAATAGTATAGTACATCAACGGTAGCACTTATTATATAATTATAGATCTAAACTTGGAGTTACTAGCCTCCACGTTATAAACAAAACGTGGAGCTGATAGACCATGTAGCCTAATTAGATTTCTGAAACAGACAACTAGATCTATTCTTTACATTATTTAAAATAATCTGGATTTGTGTAAGACTATAGCTCTATGGACCAATCATGACTGTTTATACGACGGGGCCCCTGGAAGTGATTTTGTGGATTTTTGTATCCGAATTAAACCATAGACGTAATTACGTCTATGATTAAACACACCCAGCTGTTTATGATCAGTATGTTGCATAGAGATATAGGCCCGAATTCACAAAGCAAGGTTTGAGCTCAGACCAAGGTTTACGTACGTCATATGACGCGTTTTAGACCTTGGTTCAGACCTTGGTCTGAAATGCATTTCACAAAGCCGGTTTGTCCTCAGACCAAGGTTTATGTACGTCATATGACGCGTTTCAGGTTTGAGTTCAGACCTTGGTCTGAAATTACATTTCACAAAGCAAGGTTTGTCCTCAGACCAGGTTTATGTACGTCATCAGACCCGAAATTTACAGACTGCTCAGATAGGAGGTTTGTAATTTCTCAAACCTGGTTTGAGAGCTATCAACCAATCAGGATGCAGCACTGGGTGGAGATAATTTATGCTCGATTGATTTTATCCAAATAATTCACCGCCAAAACAATCTGCGATAGTATCTGGTCAGCCCGATTTTAGTGCAATTGAAATCTCTCAATCTCTCGATCCTTTCCTTAAAATCGTAAGTATAAAACCTGTACATGTAGTCGAATCCATACTCTTCACGTTACTGACATTTCAATATGTGATATGCTTTATAACTTTCCATTTTCCATGAAATGTTCGGTGTTTACATATCCGACGGCCTCTCAATTCCAGAGTTCAGGGACTGAGTCCGAGGGAGCTCGAGTCCAACGCCCAAGGCGGCGGCGGAGCTCGCACCCTCTGACCCTGGGCTGGAGTTGGGCCTAGCCGGGCCTACAGTACAGTAGGCTATATCTGAGTATGTCAGTATGACTGTCATGTTTAATTTCGTCTTGTTGTCAGCAATGCCATGACACATGCCAATTAGAATAGGCCTAGACCTACACTAGACCGAATTTTCCGTCTCTTTCGTTCGTTAGCCTCTTATTGGGGTAGGGTCGGCTCTCTCTTTAGAGACGGAAGCCGTTTATACACATGTCCTTGCTAGTAACGCCACGGCCAGTTCTGGTCGTAGCGTTTTGCCCCCAAAATCCCCCAAAATGTCATTTTACCTCGAGCATGTTATATTGTAAATTAGGCCTAGGCTATAATAAATCAGTTCCACTTACCAACTTGACTGAAATAATCAGTTTAATAGTCCCTTTTTAGGAAATTATGGGTCAAAATCGGAATCCATGTTGAAAAAGATTTTCAAAATGGATTTCGATTTTGACCCATAATTTCCTAAAAAGGGACTATTAAACTGATTATTTCAGTCAAGTTGGTAAGTGGAACTGATTTATTATAGCCTAGGCCTAATTTACAATATAACATGCTCGAGGTAAAATGACATTTTGGGGGATTTTGGGGGCAAAACGCTACGACCAGAACTGGCCGTGGCGTTAGCAAGGACATGTGTATAAACGGCTTCCGTCTCTAAAGAGAGAGCCGACCCTACCCCAATAAGAGGCTAACGAACGAAAGAGACGGAAAATTCGGTCTAGACCTACACTAGTTATTACAAATTCATGATAATGATAATAATACCAGGCTCTAGCCTAGTAGTAGTATAGGCCTGGCAATGATGTCCATCACTTGACTTGTTTCACTGACACTGGTACCTAAATAAATAGAAATTGAAATGGCATCAGCAATGCCAATGTTCCCCAAAATGAATCACACTGACACTCAGGCATAGACCAAAAGCTTCAGTCTCTCTATATCGCCGGTTGTTCACTGAGACTACGCCTGGCTCCATAGGCACTAGACCTAGACCTCCGATTATAGAATGTCAACAAATTGTCAGTTTTAATATTATTTTTATTAAAGAAATGACCCATATCACTCAGACAGTTATTTCTGTCTATGACTAGATCTAGATCTAGATCTAGTCTAGTATGAGTCATGACAAGCAAAGCTTAGTTTTATTAAATTTAGATCTGGTTCTGATTGTCTTAATTAACTGGCTTAGTCTCCGGAGAAAGGATCACCCACAAAGTCACAAGCACAAGTAGTCTAATAACATTTCTTTAATTTAAAAACATTGTTTAAACATTTGTTTAATTTTATCTTCACTCTAGTAAAGATGGTAGAAATGCAGCTGATTCAGCATAATGAGCTGGTGTACCTGGAGGAGGAGCTGGAGCAATATATAGCAGCACAACCGGGCAGAGGCCTCTGAGTCTGAGATTGGGAAAACCCGCTTGATGATGAGCCTTTTGTTTTAGATTGAGGTAGGCTACTTTGAACTCAAATTCGAATTCTGTATTGGGAAAGTTGCTGAAAACATGGCCAAACTACTTGATGAATATTGTTAACATAGCTATACAAAAAAAGGGCTTCTGTTGTAAAATCCAACCCTAGTGTCGTTATTAAAATGCAGAAATATTTCAATTCATGTTGACCGCCTAAATTCACTGTTCGTTTGCCCCGCTTCGCTGGTCTGCCTACGACCGTGCAAGCCCCCAATGCAATACACATGTGCATTTACATAAATTTATTCAATTTCTAAGCATTTTCTGTCATATTCGATACATTGATAGATTAGTTATGATATTTATTCTTTTACATGGTACTGTAGGTGATGGAAGCATTAATGTTAATAATTTGTGTGTGGGGCATTTCCCAATACTGTTATTTGGCTTTAATACATGAGGAAATTATTCAGATTATGTGTTGGAAACAGGTTTGTGATTTCTTGTTTTGTGTAAAACTACTTAACTACTTAAACTTATTCTTCAAAAGGTGAAGCCGTGAAGGAGATTAGAAAAGGCATAGACAATTTGTCTTTTACGTTAAATTGATTCACACCACATCTAGAAATCAGGATTTTTTTTTTTTTTAAGTGACAGTGACAGTTGGGGATGTAAAAATATAATAGCATAAACCAGCAAAAAAATGATTTATTTGAATGCTTGTTTTTTTAATTTTTTTAAAAAGGTAATTCGATCTAAAGGATGCACCGTGAGGAGGCGGCATGCCGTGTCATATTCATCTGTTTGCCGAATGGAGAGTAGTGAGGGATGTTTCCGAAGCTGTTGTCAGAAGAAAGGGACAAGTCATGAAGTTTCCTACAAGTTACAACAAGGCAAATAGTGACTACTATTCAGAAGCAGTTTTTCCAGTACTGCAGATTTCCAGGAGTTGCTGTTGATGGGACACATGTTTACATCAGGAGCCCTGGTGGGGCAAGAGCCAGGTACTACTTCAATAGGAAGAACAGGTACTCCATCGATGTTCAGGTGAGAATAAATGAATACATCATGACTGGATCCAGCACGGCTTTCCCTTTAGACCCTTTTTTTGTACCTTGCAAAATTTTCACATTAGATATATACACTCTCCAGTCTTGTGTGTTGTACATCCATGCTAATTCATTGGTGACCAATGCAAGATTTCTAGTGGCCAAATGGATATTAAAGTAATATTCGCGTACAGGTACTCATTTCACTGCCTTTGTACACAGTTAAGAATATCCAATGGATAGTTAAACTTAAAAATCCTAACACTCGTTAATATCTTTTTAACTAAAGGGAAATTTGAAAAATCAAAACTTGTTCCATCCTTCTATTGGCAATACGGATATGACCTCTAGATTTCTGATATTTTGTTGATGGCCATGGCAATTGGGCCACTGTTTTTGCCATTGATCAATGAAAGAAAAAACAACAAAGAGAAACATGTAAATTGATCAATGGCAATTACCACTATATATTTTAAACTATAGAAAAACAAACAGGTTCATTTCCAATAAAAAGATGCGAGAGTGGGTACCCCCTCCCCCCCCCCCCCCCCCCCCCCCACACACACACAAAGCATTTGTTGTTTTAGGCTCGAAATGTTTTGTTAAAAGTGAGATTATTTTTGTTTACATTGTTACAAGATAAACAATGAAAACATGAGTTAAAAATGAAGAAATACTTCATCAGTCAATAAATATAGGGTAATTAGAATTTTCTTCCAATTTTTGTTGTATGAATAGATATTGAAAAGCAATTATCACATATTCAACTGCATTTGCATTAATTACCATAAATAACAAGTGAAATTTATACATTTCACGGCCTATCTGAAGTGTGAAATGAGTGAGTTTTCATAACTAATGAATGCCAACATGTTATTTCATATTGACAGGTTGTCTGTGATTATGCTGGGAAAATAACTAGTATCGTTGCAAGGTGGCCTGGACTGGTAGCAGCCACGATGCCAGGATCTTTTCTGAGTGTGCACTGAATTGGCAGCTTGATGCTAGGGCATATGAATAACAGTTGATTCTTGGAGATAGACTATAGGGTAGGTAGTATAGGTACTGTAGATTATTTCTTTATATGAAAACATTTGTTTATTCTTTTTCTTAATCAATCTTGTTTCCTTTTTTGTATTTGGCCAACATGTGACATGTTAGGAATATTCATTTGGTAATATAGTAACAACTCGCATTAAGTAATTAATTCAAACGAGCTCATGTGCTTTTAAATTTCAGTTCACAAATCACAATTAATGTTTTTGATATCTGGATGCAACTTGATTAGTTTGTTGTCAAGTGGAACCTCATAGTTTTTGTATTAGTGACACAGGATTGAATAATTCCTGATTATGTGTATAATACATTGTATCCTTTCTATAGTATTACCCCCCCCCCCCCTACCCCCCTCCAAGAAAAAAAATGAACAAGTCGAAATTAAGAATATTGTTTATGATTTTGTTTATTTTGTCCATTCAATTTTGCAGGTATCCATGCCTTCTCTGCCTCATCAGAAGCCATTTCTTCATTCAGAGGGTCGACCACAGATGTGCTTTAAAGGCCATCTGTACTGGTTCAGCCAAAGAGGATTAGACAACCCAGCAAGGTCACTGACGGGAGGCTATCTCATCAATTCAGTTCTCAATTAAAATAAGAAAAAGAGGATCATGGGGGATTAACAGGCACAGATTGGGGAAGTTTTCTATAAAGAGGGAGCAAGTAGCTAGAAGTAGTACAGTGGGGCTTTAACACTTCACACACAAAAAAGGGAGATGTGTGATTGAGCGCATATTTATTAAATGCAAGGATGAGGACGTTCCATGCCTCATCAATACTAAGAGTATTTCAAAATACGGCCCCTCCCTGGTGTTCCCACAATACTTCGTAGTTATGCAGCATTACATCAAGAACCTGTGTGTTGAACCGTTGATTATTTATGAATATTTTTGAAGTTATGTTTAGTTGATAAGTATTTGTTGTCACTCTGACGGTATTTGTAATTAAGTGTTCTCTGTAGATTAAATGCACCCGATTTAACTATAATTAGCATTGTACTGCTGAGTTGAGGGGTGGGTCAATATAAATTATTTGGTTGGCAGCTAGGGGAGAGTATTCGAACAAATATTATTTACTGTACTAAGCGAAGTCAGAATTAAAGAACTTTTATGTGCAAATTTGAATTTTCGTCACCCATTTTGTTGTATTTCTGATTTTCTTTCTGCTAACAGCGCTACAGTGAGACTTTTAATTGGCCTTCCAGAGCCTCTCTTAACCTCTAGTGGGCTATATTTCATATAAGCATGCTACAAAATTTACAAATGTGAACTGCATTGTTTGAACAAACGGTAGATTACTATTGTGTTGTATGCTCAATTATTTATGTAAAACATAAAAATACGAATACCATATTCTTGCTTTCATATATTTACAAAGATAACTGAAATAGATATGTGTCAGATTATCTCTCTCTCTCTCTTTCTCCCTTTTTTTTGGGGGGGGGGGGGGTGCAGATGTGTGTGTTTGCAGTTTGCATGGTTTTGCATTATGTGTTTCATTGCAAAAAAGTAGAAGAAGAGAGAGAGAGAGAGAGGGGACAAAGAAAAAAATTAATAGAGAGAGAAAGGGAGGGAGAGAGAGAGAGAGGGGGGGGGGGGGGAAAGAAAAAGAATTAATAGAGAGAGAAAAAGGGAGAGAGAGAACAAAAATGGGTATAGAAAGAGAGAGGAGGGACGGGGACAGAGAAAGAGACATGGAGGGAGAGAGAGAAAGATGAATAGAGAGAGAGAGGGGAGAAAGAAAAAGAATTAATAGAGAAAGATAGGGAGAGAGAACAAAAATGGGTAGAAAGAGAGAGGGACGGGGACAGAGAAAGAGACAGGGAGAGAGAAAGAAAAGATGGCCATAGAGGAATTTTTTAAAAATTAATATTATATGGAAACAAATCATTTACCAGTTACAATTTTGATGTGAAAAAATAGCCAGTTGGGGAAACAAACGGGGAACTAGTTAAAATAATAATTGATTGACCATTCTAACAAAAGAACTATATAGATCTATGAAGTAATATATTAATCACAATAAAAACTTAAGTCATATTAAATCATTATTATTATTATTATTATTAGGTGATTTTATTGATAAGAATTTGTAACCCCCAAAACAATAATACTCTTACAGTTAATTTAAAAGAGCCCTTGACAACCTTAGATGTATTTATCTAACGAAGGTTTTCAGGTGTCGATGTCAATTTGTTCTGGGTCAGATTGAGTGCTTCACCAGCACCACACAAATGTGAGTACGTGGGGCACTTTCTGCATCGGCGCGCCAGTTTGGTTCGATTAATTCATGAAAATGCGATTCAAAAGTTAATTTCAGAGATGTTCTAACCATCATCTTTTCAAGATTGCTCATTAAGATGTCCGGATCGTACTAAGAATGCTTAGTTTAACAGTTTTTTCAATTCTTAACATTTAAACCCTAGCCCATAAAAATTATGTTAGAAACCCTATGGCTGAGACTAGTTTTACAAACCTTGGTCCGAGGTTTGGGAGGGTGAAGCTTTTCTTCACACACCTAATCGGAGATGAAGGTAGCCCATCCAATGTGTAAAAATTGCCAATTTGATAAGTGTAAGGATCGCATTGTACACATACAACCGCTATACTACACACACGCAATATATTCTTTGTGTATTGTATCCGTCAAGCATGATCAGTGCAACGATGGCTGGCTACCAATTAAAATAGGTATGGTGGTCGGATATAATGAGAGTAGATGATGGAGGGGGGGGGGGGGGGGGGGGGGGGGGGGCGGTAAAGCGCAGTACTTAGGGGCAAATCAAAGAATTATACTAAGACCTCACCTCATGTATGTTAGAAATTAAAAAGTTATTATCTTCTTTTGAATTGCAATATATCCCTGCACCATAATTATATGTCATGCATGAATGTTATTTGTCATATGTTATATATTTGAAAGGTGTTACACGATTCAAGCTCTTTTTGCTTATGTTTCATCACCTTTGTGTGTTCTTTCTTCAAACTGTATATTAGTTGCAACGTGTCTATGATAAATCATTGTTATATTCTTTTTCATGTGAAGTCAATTCAAATGGATTGTAAAATTGAAATGATTTGTTATATTATTTTATATTCATTTTTCATGTGATGTTAACTTCAATGAATTGTGAAATTGTGAACATGCATGCATGCATAAATAAATAAATAAATAAATATGCCTTCTCTGGAAAAAGGGGCATTGACTCTTTACATACCAAATCACAGAAACTATTCACCATTATGTCACCGTCATGTACATATTTTCTATGGATATAATTTTTCACGATCTCAACTCTTTACCACATCAGCGTCATGTACATTGTCGATGGATAAAGTGGAATATTTATTCTTCACCACCCTACGCTAACTTTTCACCACCCTCGCGTCATGTACATTATCTATGGATAACCTGGAATATTAACTCTTCACCACCCTACGCTAACTTTTCACCACCCTAGCGTCATGTACATTGTCTATGGATAAATGGTAATATTAACTCTTCACCACCCTACGCTAAGTTTTCACCACCCTAGCGTCATGTATATTGTCTATGGATAAATGGTAAAATTAACTCTTCACCACCCTACGCTAACTTTTCACCACCCTAGCGCCATGTACATTGTCTATGGATAAAGTGGAATACTAACTTTTCACCACCCTACGCTAACGTTTCACCACCCTAGCGCCATGTACAGTGTATACGGATAAACTGGAATATTAATTTTTCACCACCCTACGCTAACTTTTCACCACCCTAGCGCCATGTGCATTGTCTATGGATAAACTTGAATATTAATTTTTCACCACCCTACGCTAACTTTTCACCACCCTAGCGCCATGTACATTGTCTATGGATTATATTAACTCTTCACCACCCTAAGCAAACTTTCACCACCCTAGCGTCATGTACATTGTCTATGGATAAAGTGGAATATTAATTTTCACCACCCTACGCTAACTTTTCACCACCCTAGCTAGCGTCATGTACATTGTCTATGGATAAACTGGAATATTAACTTTTCACCACCCTACGCTAACTTTTCACCACCCTAGCGTCATGTACATTGTCTATGGATAAAGTGGAATATTAATTTTTCACCACCCTACGCTAACTTTTCACCACCCTATTAGCGCCATGTACATTGTCTATGGATAAACTGGAATATTCTTCACCACCCTACGCTAACTTTTCACCACCCTAGCGTCATGTATATTGTCTATGGATAAACTGGAATATTAACTTTTCACCACCCTACGCTAACTTTTCACCACCCTAGCGTCATGTACATTGTCTATGGATAAACTGGAATATTAACTCTTCACCACCCTACGCTAACTTTTCACCACCCTAGCGTCATGTACGTTGTCTATGGATAAAGTGGAATATTAATTTTTCACCACCCTACGCTAACTTTTCACCACCCTATTAGCGCCATGTACATTGTCTATGGATAAACTGGAATATTCTTCACCACCCTACGCCAACTTTTCACCACCCTAGCGCCATGTACATTGTCTATGGATAAACTGGAATAATTATTAACTCTTCACCACCCTACGCTAACTTTTCACCACCCTACAGCGCCATGTACATTGTCTATGGATAAACTGGAATATTAACTCTTCACCACCCTACGCTAACTTTTCACCACCCTATTAGCGCCATGTACATTGTCTATGGATAAACTGGAATATTCTTCACCACCCTACGCCAACTTTTCACCACCCTAGCGCCATGTACATTGTCTATGGATAAACTGGAATAATTATTAACTCTTCACCACCCTACGCTAACTTTTCACCACCCTACAGCGCCATGTACATTGTCTATGGATAAACTGGAATATTAACTCTTCACCACCCTACGCTAACTTTTCACCACCCTAGCGTCATGTACATTGTCTATGGATAAATGGTAATATTAACTCTTCACCACCCTACGCTAAGTTTTCACCACCCTAGCGTCATGTATATTGTCTATGGATAAATGGTAAAATTAACTCTTCACCACCCTACGCTAACTTTTCACCACCCTAGCGCCATGTACATTGTCTATGGATAAAGTGGAATATTAACTTTTCACCACCCTACGCTAACGTTTCACCACCCTAGCGCCATGTACAGTGTATACGGATAAACTGGAATATTAATTTTTCACCACCCTACGCTAACTTTTCACCACCCTAGCGCCATGTGCATTGTCTATGGATAAACTGGAATATTAATTTTTCACCACCCTACGCTAACTTTTCACCACCCTAGCGCCATGTACATTGTCTATGGATTATATTAACTCTTCACCACCCTAAGCAAACTTTCACCACCCTAGCGTCATGTACATTGTCTATGGATAAAGTGGAATATTAATTTTCACCACCCTACGCTAACTTTTCACCACCCTAGCTAGCGTCATGTACATTGTCTATGGATAAACTGGAATATTAACTTTTCACCACCCTACGCTAACTTTTCACCACCCTAGCGTCATGTACATTGTCTATGGATAAAGTGGAATATTAATTTTTCACCACCCTACGCTAACTTTTCACCACCCTATTAGCGCCATGTACATTGTCTATGGATAAACTGGAATATTCTTCACCACCCTACGCTAACTTTTCACCACCCTAGCGTCATGTATATTGTCTATGGATAAACTGGAATATTAACTTTTCACCACCCTACGCTAACTTTTCACCACCCTAGCGTCATGTACATTGTCTATGGATAAACTGGAATATTAACTCTTCACCACCCTACGCTAACTTTTCACCACCCTAGCGTCATGTACGTTGTCTATGGATAAAGTGGAATATTAATTTTTCACCACCCTACGCTAACTTTTCACCACCCTATTAGCGCCATGTACATTGTCTATGGATAAACTGGAATATTCTTCACCACCCTACGCCAACTTTTCACCACCCTAGCGCCATGTACATTGTCTATGGATAAACTGGAATAATTATTAACTCTTCACCACCCTACGCTAACTTTTCACCACCCTACAGCGCCATGTACATTGTCTATGGATAAACTGCAATATTAATTTTTCACCACCCTATTCTAACTTTTCACCACCCTATAGCGCAATGTACATTGTCTATGGATAAACTGGAATA